TTGGGATTTTTGCATTATTTATCATAGCATCCACCCCCACATTTTTTTAAGTTCATAACCCAGACAAAAGATGGGTACCTCAGCTTGTTTCTTTATAATCCTGGAAGGAAGCATGTTATTTAACTACTGCTATTCTGCCATCTCTGAGTTTAGTGTGGACCCACTGTCCAAACTAATAACAGCCAAAGCAACTCTTCTTATTGGATGTTTGTATAAATTTCAATATGGTACTACATACATGTGTGCATTCCAGCATTTATCCTTTCCTATCTGTTATAGCATATATTCAAACACATTGGTATATTTGTCTCTTTTGCTGAAATTGTTAACCTTGAAATGCTATTTCATTTTTTTTACTTGTTGGTAATCTCAAAAACCTTATCAAGTGTTTATTGTTTTTAATCATGCTGATTTCATAATATACTTTAATGAAGCGCTCCATGTTGAAATATATGCTGTGTCATCTACAGCAAGTTATCCAAGAGTCTCTTTGTACCTTTGTTTATTGTACCATTAAAACAGTTAAATTAATTTCACAATTTAGATACTTTTAGTGCTAGGTTAAGAACGTATTTCCATATATCTTCACCTTAGTATCCAATAGCATTCTTTGAAATTTTTTTTTTTTCAAACTCATTATATCTTTAAATTTTTGATAGCTATTATCTGTTGAAATCTCTGTTAAGATACTGTTTAAACTATAAATAACTGGCATGCTGACTGCATTAATTCTTGCAAGTAATGATTACCTGTCAGAGGCTAATGGAAATTTTTTTACAAACAACTAATGTCTGCATGTTTCTTGGTATAGAAATGTATGCAAAATCGAAAACGATTTTATGAAAATTTTGAAAAAAAATTGCTTTTTAAGTACATGAAAATATTTTGCTAAATCTGATTAACAACTACGAATCTTCACGGTTGTTTTGAAATATATGATATTGGTTTATTTAATCCCTAAAAATAGTGTTACAGCTTATGTTAAGAGATGCATGTAGAGTATGATTCTAGTTTCTTTGTTAATATCTTGCATTTTGTACATCTTACTTAAAATTGATTCTTTCGAAGTTTTTTAATCAGCATTCATGATTTTCCACTTTTTTACTTTGAACATCAGCAATGTTTTATGCTTTGAACTGTGAGCTGCACATACTGGTAAAAATCCACTCAAGGAGACAAGTAGACTAAACAAATCCAACAATATACAAAAAAAACTATAAAATCAACATTTCAAATGTTAGCAGCATTGTTGGATGTAACAACTCATTTATTTCTGTTTCATTGTCTGTCTGAGAGTATATGAAGAAGAGTTCATACTTTTTACTTCGTCAATAAAGCTGTAGAAATGACTCCATTCCTCTATCAGATTCAGCTTTGAAATTTTATTATTTCATTGTTGTTCATATGTGCCTCATGCAACTATTTTATTTCATCTGCACATTTTATAACTTGTTTTTTGTAGCTGAGCATCTAACACCATTCTTTGTGTAGGTGTGTAAAAGCTAAAAGTTATTGTATGTTTGTTTTTCTAGTTGATTTTAGTTTTTTACATAGCACATTCGTTTAGACATTTTTCTTCTGCAGTAATGGGAGAAGGTGAAGTAAATTGTGATGTAAACATTTATATTTATGTAAATGTGATTGCTGTAGTTATTCTCACCATCTTGATCTCATTACCTATCC